AGGAGTAGTGATAGGGCAGAGCGATGACTATTAATAGATCCATATAATGTTTCATTTTTGTACAGATCCGCTATAAATGATATTATGGATGAAAATGGAGCTTCATAAGTATTTATTTGGTTATTTATACTAAATTGGCACCACAGTCTGTACGTACTAGAATATTGTTTCATAGTATTATCTGAGATGGATGCTAGCATGAGATCTAGTGCTATGTCCGAAGTGTTTAATCTCTTAAATGCTGCCCCGAGAGCGGCGCGGTCGCCAGAGAAAGGCTGGCATGAAGTCGGTGACGTAACCTGTAACGACAACGCAAAAGGTCTCTGTTGGGTTTAAAGAAAATAATCTCCGAGATGAGCATTCTTTTGAGCAGTGGAAACCAAGCTTGTCCAGGGCAGTAAGGAAATACTATTATACCGGTCGCTTTGTCACTAATAATTTTTCTTAAACATCTTAGTATTGAGGCGAACGGTGGAAATGCGTAGAAGAACGACGAGTTCCGGTTAACTGTAAAAGCGTCATCTTCATCATCAATTATCAAGATTTTATTTATCTAAAACAAAAATTAATGTTATTGAGGGTAAATATTAGAACCAAAGGCAAATAAATTACTGCTCGAATAGTAACATTTAATCTACTGGACATGTGTAAACACAGGTCATTAATTTTAATACATTATTTTATATTACTTCAATATAATTTTATATACTTGTACGGTATTATATTCAAATATTAATATACGAATATTATAACATTATTTTATTAAAATAACTGTAAAATCGTTTCTCGAACGATTTCCAAGTACCTTCGTGTTAACACGCGGTTAACCTCTCGGTATTAAAATCATCTTCGTGATGACACACGGTCAACCTCCAGGTAAAATGTAAATACAATATTTTATAATATTTTATTTAATTTAGTATTTATAATGTTTAGAGATAAAACTTTACTAACCCGAATCTTTATCAGAATTTTCAGAAGACGAATAAATGATTCGTTTGTATTTTCGCTGCTCCTGTTCCATTTTTCTAATTTTGCGTCGATAACGTTTAATTTTATCTTTTCGGCATGGTAACCACAGAATATAAACTATTTTTACTTTTAAAGAAAGGCACGTGCGAACGTTGCATCGCACAGTTAAGGAATGAAGTGGCTATCGGACCGGTGGGAAAACGGAGAGTGGGAGTTGCCAACAACAAAAAAAAAATCGATTAAAATAGATCGATTCTCTAAACGTGCGAATTCCTCGAGTATCTGAAGTTCTCTCTATCTGAAGAATGAAGCGAAGAAATATAATTATAAATCTAATAACATTGGCGATTGCCATAAAGTTACTTAAAACACATTATCATACTGAATATTTTCAGAAGTTATAAGGATAAATCAACACAAAATAAAAATAAAAAAAACGTTTCTTGGCACTTACTCGACCTATAAATATTCCATAAGATCTTTCACGGATATTTATTAATAAAGTACAAAATTTTATAGTAGAAAGCATTAAATGGATTTCGTCCTTTCGTAAACACAATAAATTCACGAAAACTTTACTACATACAAAGGACTATAACAATACCCGCTTTGTTAGCTCAGGGCTCATACAACAAACTTATGCCATTTATAATGTACCCGAGGCGATGCAGTAGTAAATAAATATTTGAGTGCTCTCTTCAAAGCTCATAACGCTAAGCACAAACTAAAATATTCTTAAATATTAAATAAATTGTCATAAGTACAAATGGACGGTACTACAGTGGATCAGTAGTTACGGACGGTAGTATAATGGGTCAGCTGAAGTTGCAATAGGCCGGCCATTAAGCTCAAAAAACCGATCACCAATGTGGAAAAAAGGTCCTACTGCTAAGTCAAGGATGCTAAGTAAGGGATGTCTCTAGCTCAGGACCGTGCTTTTTGGCATTAGGGGAGTCCTACGTTTAGCAGTTGACTTGTGATGGGCTGCAACAATGATGTTAAAACCAGAATACGTGGGTTTATTTTCGAGTAACAGCTTTGCGATGGGTAAAAGTAAAAGGTTGAGATCCCATCCGTAACGATTCGTGAGAAGTAATGGTTTTTACCGTAACCGTTACAGCCTATTAAAGTCTACTGTTGAATTTAAGCCTCCCCCTAATATTGTTTCATAGAGTGGATATTTATTATTATACCACGCTTATCAAGTGAGTTGGTAAGTGTGATGTGATAAGTATCATAAATGGCATTCTTTGAAAGGCCTATAAATTATGAACTTGAGAATAAGAAAACTTTGAAAAAAAATTCATTTCAATTCAGTTACAGGTCAAACACTTAGTACAGCTATATTCCACCATTTTAGTATATATATATATATATATATATTACTAAAAGTTTATTGCTTTTAGTGTTCAGATTTATAATATTGTTGTAAGCCATAATTGATGCCCCTAGCGCCATCTAGTATCAGGTAGGAGGAGAGCTTTCTAAAAAATGCCATGCCTGAACCAACATCGCAGCATCTCTAGTATCGAATAGAAGAATTAAGCTTTATATAAAAGTTCACACTCGAATTTTCTACATCTAGTCAGACGGTACTGGTATTTTCTGGAATATTCTTTGGTTTCGGTGGAAAAGGCCTATTAAGCCGTTAAGTACCCCGATTGGCAATACGAGCGAAGCTTTCGGAGCGAAATTAAGTGAACTAAAGTATTAAGTGTGATTAATAATTAGTGTGTTTGTTTTTGTTGTTTTAATTGGTGTGCGGTAATTAAAGTGTCAATTTTGGTAGTTCAATCGGCAGTTTTTATTGTCACGAACCCTAAGCTCGTAACAATTGGTGTCAGAAGTGGAATAAAATCATGCCGATTTTACCGAAGGATGACACGGAGGGTGTCGGCACCCAAAGTCATCGTCAGCAGGAGTGCCCGTCTGTTGGAAGAGCAGCTGCGGGGCGGACAGGAGGAACAGGCCTGTCGTTTGGAAGAGCAGGTGCTCCTCAAGAAAGACCTTCACTCTCCCTTTTGGAAAGAAATAAGGGAGGTCAAGGATAGGGTTGCTCAACATGACATCTGCCTGTCGGAAGCTGAAACCCGAATCCACCAAGTGAACAAAATGTTGGCTGACAAAACGCTGGACGACCTCAAACTTGGGAATGAAATAACAGCTCCCGTGGTAGCTACAACACCTTCGCTACGTGGGTTCAAAGTGCCGTCGAACGGCGGCACTTTGAATCCACGTAGTTCTTCCTGGCCGGCCTACAAAATCCAGTTCGAAGCTTTGAAGTTCGAAGTTATGAAGGCGAACGGCTGGAATAAAAGTCAGGCCATGACTGCTCTCACACTAGGCATGCGTGACCAGGCCTTAACTGTTCTAGAAGCTCTCGGTAAGGAAGTGACTTACGAGCAGCTCCTTGAGGCATTGGAGGATAGATATGGCGACGCTCACCTAGACCACGTCTTTCGTGCGCAGCTTAGAGATCTCGTGCAATGCATCAACGAAAACCTGCAGCAGTGGACCCTTGAGGTGGAGAAGCTGGTGTGAAAAGCTAAGCGGTCTGTACCTGCGCTCATTGAAGGGAGCCTGGTGCAGACATTCATCGACCGCAGTGAGTGAATTAAAGACAGAGCTGCTGTGAGGCTCGGGCATCACAAGACGCTTAAGACAGACAGTCTTATTTTTATTTATTTTCCATACCATAAACATAAATAAACATATAAAAATATATACACACAAACATATTAATACAATCATTACTTCCCTTTGTATAAGAAATAATTACTGATTAATAAAATCAATTTTTTATAGGATAAGGGTGACTAACGAACACCCAGTCCACCCGTGGATGCTGTAGCCCATAGACATTTACATTTAACCTCGATTAAGATTCAAAATGCAGACGCGTTGTCAACCTTAAGGACTAAGATAGAATGCCTCGATTACAATAAAATAGATCTGGGTTCTCTACACTCACCATACGAAATACTACAGCTTTAAGCTGCTATTTTACGCTGGTATTCCGTGAGACCTTGGTCCTTCCCCGGTCGAGCTGACCTATTCATGCAACAACAATAATTGCTGCAGCGTGGCTCTACCACGTATAAAATTTACTATTCAATGGCCATTATATTACTTCATTTTATAAAATGACAGTTTTATTTAAAAAAAAAAACGTTTGAATAAATTGTTTTAAATATGTGTTATAAAAAAATTAGATGTTTTTAAATGGGGCGTATAGATAGACATCTACACCAACTCTCAACCGAGAGAATTACGTGGAATCACAAAAAAAAAAACACATAAAATTATTATAAATACATACTTTATAGTCTTATAATTTTATGTGACTTTCAATATGTATGCAGGCTTCCGCTGTCATATGAACATTGTGCTCCGGTAATTTAATTGCTTAAAAACAGTTGTTCAACTGTATCGTTCCAAATATCCCAAAGTAATACCAAATACATCTTATATATCCATTGATAAACTGTGACACAAATAAAATAATAAATACTTTATATTTGTGATTTAAAGTGACGGTTGAAGAAAAAATTTCAAACACATGCAAAAAAGCTCATAACGAATGAATCTGTCGCTTCGTATTTATTTGTAATAGCGGTGGCGGTGGCGTGTTGGCTACGCACTCGAGTTGGTCATTTGAGGCCGCAGGATCGTATCTAACCTGCACAATTTGACTTTTTTGTGAGTGTTTTAAGTTTTAATTTGTATTCAAACTTAATATGTTGAGTAGTCAGAGAAGTGTTTAGGTTTAGTCACGCTCCTAAGTTATCGTTGAAAAAGTACTGTAATAGTGCTCGTAAGTATAAAAATCATACATCAAAACAAAGAATATACTCCGATGTTTAAAGCGTATGAAACATTATCATTATATATGCCTGAACATAACTCAATCTTATTACAAGGCTAACCTCGGCGAACTGAGAAGGTCCTGGATATGTCCACTTTGCATCAACATAACTAGACGAAAGGGAAACAACTGCAATACGCCTGTTCGGAAACAACAAGAAAACATGGATGAATCTAATATGTCCTGCGAAGACCTCATGATTAGTGAAACCACTGTTGAAATTAGTCGACCAGTCATGGACGCAGTTGAAAATACACCCACGTCATCAGGATGTACTCCCGCTGCGAGTATCACATTGGATCAATTCTCGAGACTTCTAGATTTTAAGTTGGATACTAAACTGGAAAGCTTTCAAGCATCTTTAACCAGAACAATAAGGAAGGAAGTTAGTGATCAAATAGCCAAACTAAAATCCGTGTTCACCGTAACGACAGATTTTTTTGCGGAGTAGCAAAGGGACGTAAAAGCTGAACTTAAGACGTTGTCAGACAAGATCCGCAAGCTTGAAGATGAAAAGATGCAACTACAATCCGAATTATCCCAAATGAATAAAACTCTGCAGGTCTTAGACAAATCTTCAAGAAACTGCAACATTGAAATCCAGTCAGTACCCGAAAAACGATCGGAAAATTTATTGTATGGGTTGAAGAAATTGTGTGAGGTCATAAATTGCCAAGATGAACCCTGCGTCAGACCGTCCCCGCAATATTATTGCAACGCTGCACTCGGAACATCACCACGACTCTATCATCTCTGCAGTGCGAAGATTCAATAAAGCAAACGAGTTGTGTCTGCTAAACTCGTGTCACATGTGCTTAGTTGGCGAAAAATACAATATCTATGCATCGGAACACCCATGTAAGGCAGTATACGCCGCGGCAAGACGAAGGACTAAAATTAACCACTACAAATTTGTCTGGGTAAAATACGGTCTCGTCTATGTTCGTAAAAATGAAGAATCCCCTGCTATACTTATAAGAGACACCATCAAAGCTGCGGCCTAATAATCCTGTATTATGAGTAATCTGAATTAAACTCGAAGCATTTATTTGGTATCTTTTCACATATTTTTAAAAATGCATATATATATATATATATATATATATATATATATATATATATATATTATCAAAATCTCAATAGAGCTAGAAGTAAAATAGATATTCTTTATAAAAAACTTTCTGAACTCCAATTACTATTTGATATGTCTAACTGAAACAAATTTCGATGCTTCTCTATATGATGGGGAACTGTTTGACGAGCAATACAATGTCTTCCGTAAAGATCGCGATACCACTTGTATAAAAAAGTATAATAAAGACGATGGAGGCGGTGTCCTCGTAGCAGTTAAAAACAATACTCTGCTGTCAGACGGGTCTCCTGGGAAAGCGAACAAGAGGATGTCTGGATTAGCATATTGCCACCTAATATTAATGGTTAGACAATTAATGTATGCGTTTGCTATCTGCCTCAATATCTTAATAAAAATGACCTGTGAAACTTCTATTCAAATCTTCAAAACATTATCCTAAAATCAAATGTACAGAATTCTTTTGTATTATTTGGCGACTTTAATGTACCCAATGTCTCATGGATCCTGTCAAGCGATGGCAGGATGACAGCTAGCTGCAATGAGAGGGACTACAAGAGCGAACTGTTGTTAGATACTGTGGCACTCTTTGATCTGTAACAGTTCAACCCCATCCCCAATAATAACAATAGGATACTTGATAGAGGATCTTGCTCTTAGCACTTCTGGAAATATGACAAAACAAGATAAACATCACCCTGCCTTACGGATCGATTTTCAAGACTCAAATTCCTTTAATTATAAAGATAAGATAAGATAAGATAAGATGCTTTATTTGTCAGAATATGGTACATTACTGTTGTTACAAAAGAATTTTGATCCTAAATATTCTGCCGTTTCCGGCGTACAAATATTTTCAGATAGATAATTTTTCTAATAAAGTAGAAAACTAAGACACTAATTATTATATAGTATAAAGATACTTGCCGCAATATTTATGGAAACCAAATCTATATAAAACAATCATCAATTAATTCATAATACTTTAGTTAAAACATTTCAAAAAAATTAAATTCAGCAATTCAATAAACACTATTCGAGTCAAATTTATCTTTTAAGAAGTCATTTACTGAGTAATAACACTTATTTAAAAGAAATTGAAACAATTTACTTTTAAAGATTCCTATTTTCATCTCTTTGAAACAAACAGGCAATTTGTTGTAAACATATATTGCCATACAATATACATTTTTTGAGTAGAGTTGTATTCTTTGCTTTGGTACACACAATTTATGTATATTTCTACTAGTCCTAATTACAACATCATTGTGTTTTTCAAATAAATTACTATTTTTGTGAACAAAGATACAGATTTCGTAAATGTATAATGCTGGAAGCGGCAATATTTTATGTTTGCGAAAAAGAGGAATACAACTATCTAATTGGTGTGCTCCGCGTAAAGACCGTACACATTTTTTCTGTCCACGAAAACCTCTAATTAAATCAACAGAATTACCCCATATTATTAAGCCGTAACGTAGGATCGAAGAAACATATCCATGATAGGCAAAGAGTGCAGCCTCCATATTAGCCACTCGTCTTAACCGATATAAAACAAAGACAAATTTATCTAACTTTTTACATAGGCTATCAATATGTGTCTTCCAATTACAGAACTTGTCTATTGTTACACCTAAAAAGTTAGTATGGTTAACTTCTTCGATTATGTTTTTCCCATATTCTATTTTAAGTGGTTCTTGTTTACTATTATATGTCTGAAATCTTATCATCTTAGTTTTTTCGATGTTAATTTGTAAATTATTATGTCTTAACCAATCTATTATTGTTTCTAAGGTCCTATTTATTTCATGTTCGTAGTCAAAATATTTATTATTATTTTCAATATTAATGGTAATGTCATCAGCATATAGCACACATTTATGAGTAGTTACGTTACAAAGATCGTTGATATATATTATAAATAATAAAGGACCCAGTATACTTCCTTGTGGCACTCCGCATTTATTTTCGAAATACTGTGATCTATAGTTTTTTCTATTGCGTCCTGAGTAACTTGATACCTCAACGCATTGCCTTCGCTGACTTAAATAATCTTGTATTAATTTTAATGCATTGCCTCTTACACCACATCTGCTAAGTTTGTGTAACAATAATTCGTGGTCAACGAAGTCAAATGCCTTGGACATATCAATGAAAATGGATGTTATAGGTGTTTTGTTGTTTAGGCTAGTTGTTATTAGTTTTATTAAGTTGAAACATGCTAAAGTGGTTGACTTTTTTTTTGTAAACCCATATTGCTCTGGTTTTAATATTTCATGTTTGTTAAAGAAGTTATAGATTCTGGTATGTATGGCCTTTTCAAACACTTTTGATAGAACAGATATCAGTGTTATGGGCCTATAATTGTTTATGTCAGTTTTATCGCCTTTCTTGTGTAGTGGTTTAACGACAGAAAATTTTAGTCTAGTTGGGAAAATGCCTTGAACAAAAGATAAATTGATAAAGTAAGTTAGTGGGAAAGACAAATATTTGGAGCATTGTTTTAAGATTTTAGTACTAATATCATCATAACCTGTAGAATTTGTATTTTTTAAAGAATTAATAATTTTTATAATGTCAGTGTTATGTATTGGAACTAGATATATAGAATTGGGATAAAATGTCAATTTAGACGCATAGTCGTTATTGGTTATTATTTTATTTGGTGTTTTAATGTAATTATTTAAATTTATAAAGTAATTGTTAAACACTTCCGCTATTTTATCTGGGTGATAATATGTTTTGCCATTAGAGGTTATTGTAGTAATGTCATTCATAACTGCCATATCACTATTAACGTTTTTTATTATTCGCCAAGCTGCCTTACTTTTGTTGTTAGAATTAAGTAGGTAGCGTGTATTGTCCAGTTTTTGGACTTGCATAATGCATTTTCTTAAAATGTTTGTATATTTGTAATATATATTCCAATTTCTCTTTTTTTCTTTAAATCTCTCAAGGTCAATGAATCAAAGTGACTAAATTTCTATAAATGCCAATACAAAACTGTAAAGCAGAGTATCAAGGATTCCAACTGGTCAGATCTACTTCATGGGGCAGATGTAGATGAGGCCGTGGCTAGATTTTACGATGTGATCTACGAAATTATTAATGATTGTACTCCCACAGTTCAGAACCGCTGAAATAAATATCCCAAATGGTTCAGTCCTGGCTTGCGTCGTTGTATGCGGGAAAAAAACAATTACCACGTGCGCTACAAAAAATACAAAAACCCACGAGTTTACGATACATTTTCCCTCCTTCAAGCTAGATGCAAAAAACTCATAAACTTTTGCTACAATAAATACATCAGATCTATCGAAAATGGTTTGACAAAAGACGTTAAGTCGTTTTGGAGTTACATTAATAGCAAAAGATGCAAAAACTCGAGTGTTCCCAATTTGTTTACCAAATGTCATTGTCAAATGTCAAATGTCACACACAACGGCTGCTGGTGGTAAAGAAATTTGCGATCTGTTTTCAGAATTTTTCGGATCAGTATTCGAAGATCATATTCGTGGATCGGGTATATCCGATTGTTGTAGTCAAACAAAAAAAAATCTGGTGACCGAGACAATTGTGAAAATTATAGACCGATAAGCATTTTGTCAGCAGTTCCAAATTATTTGAATCAGCAGTATTTGATCACCTCTATTTTCATTTAAAACCTCTTATATCAAATAAGCAACACGGATACATCAAAAGGAGATCGACAGTCAGTAACCTAAGTTAAGAACTTCAAAACCTACATATACGATGTGTTTATTAAGCTTACGTACCGGCAACAATAGAAGACTCCGGTCATATGCTGAGAGGCTTAAAGAGTTAACATGACACCACTTCACCTCCGTCGCGACGGATTGGAACTAGTTAACCTACACAAAATAATACACTCGGAACTGGTCAGCCAAAGTATTTGACATAGCTCTATCACGAAATAATATCTGCCGGAATCAACCCCTATCAAGGTTATGTCGACTTTATGAGGATTATAGCCTTCATTTTACCAACCTTGACATCTTCAACTCTAGCCTGGTTCGCTTTAGAAATGTTTTGAAAAACATTCTCAAAGACATCCCCTTCGATTGATATTTAGTTATAGTTCTTGATTTGTTGGATATGTGAGCATGTTAGTTTAAGCAATTTTATTTAAAATGTTTGCTTCTTAATTTTGGCATGCCGTGATAACACGTATAAGGATTATGTCTTGTATCACACCATTATTTTTGTAAATTATAGCTTTAAGTCATGATGTAATCTGTTGTGTTGTCCTATATGAAATAAAGTAAAATAAAATTAAAATATGGCGTTTTACTGATTTAGAAGAGACGTCCAGCCTTGAAGTGAACTATTAGCTATCAAGTGTCACATACATAGAGATAATATTTCAAACACTGATATTTTTTTAATAAAAGTTAAAACAGTCGATATAAGTATTAAATTATAATAATATATATACTTTTTTACACACAAATAGTTCTTCCTTTCTGTACTTTAAACCATTGGTTTTATTTTATTGGTTTTATTTTATAGCATTTATCACGAATTCAAGCCAGAACGCAAAATTTGATATAAGTGACTCTCATAATGATTTCTTATATTTACGCTAACACTACACATTGATTAAAACTACTTTTATGGATTTTATCGCGTTTATTTTACTATTATTTTTTTTAATTCCCGACGTTTCGGGCGCTTTCCAGCACCCATGGTCACGGGGGACTGAGATGACTGACGTCCCGATGTCATTGTTAAACCCGGAGTACCTTCAGCTTTTTTAATTATTGTTTATGGTCCGATCTATGCAAAATGAACTGACTATGTCCTGAGGTCTTGCAGTGGTATGCTTGGGTTTAGTTTTAATTTTATTGATTATAGGATCCCAAGCAGGTGGTAGTACTCAACCTCCTTCTCTAT